GGTACCACTGTAAAACTATTTTTTTGTGGCAACCCCTTATTTTTATGTCCATTTGTCTATTGAGTCATCTGTCTATTGAGACTCAATATGACTATTGAGTCATATTGAGAAAACTGATTGCTTGAAAGTGCATCATGAATATTCTCACATTGTACGTACAGAATTCTCACATTGTACGTACAGCTGGCTCTCCTTTTTGGTGGGGGATCCGTTCCAGACCCCCCCTGCGAAAATGAAGATTTGCCAATATTCAAGCCCCGTAGGCTTGAATGGGGTGCACCCCATGTGCACCTTGATTTTAACGGAGGTTGCCTCTCTGTGAACATGCAAAACTGCCTCCTTGCACACCCCCCCCCAGCTGCACAATGGCAGCCAGACACCAATGGGCACAATTCTGCCCTGCCCCAAACATCCACTGATTGGCCATAGGGGTGCATCCTGCTACTGTCCAGCTGCCATTGCACAGCTGAAGGAAAAGGAACAGATTTCACCTTTTGGACATCCAGTGGAGCTATTCTGCTAGGGCTTTACACTCTGTCAGTATCCAATAGGACTTTGGTGGTATGGAACCTTCAACTCCCCAGATGTTGCTTGACTTTCAAGTCAGGTCATTGTCAGTGATGCAGATGAAGGCTTAGTGATCAGACAATATCTGTAGGGCCAGCCCTCACTTACAACAGCCTTGTAAATTGGGAAAGCATCGTCCTTATATTGGAGCTATATTAGCCTGAAATTAGTGAACTTATGACAGAGACAAGAGTAAAACAGAAGGATTTCTTGATTCGTAGCTCACAAATGTCATAGCTACTGTGTCGCACCAGCCTTATATATCTGGGTTAGCTACAGTTCATCAGTTCTTAGAGAATGTGGTCATAAATCCTGTTATCTCTCACATTCCAAAGAAGTGTGTAGTAGTTTGAATCAGTTTCCTTCAGTAGTTTAAGCCACAGTGAAAGATAGCTCTGAGTCTCAGATCACTAGAAGCAGTACTATAAGATTACTACTGCTGGCAATATAGATATACCTACTGTAGGGCAATCAGTTCAGAATGGCACACAGCCAAGATTGTGGGTATGAGAGAAACTCCAGCTGTATGCATACTGAATATTGACATTTAAGAGCCAAGTGTCAAACCCATCCAAAAGAATACAAACCCTTTTTGAATGGCACTTTGTTTCTCTCCCACTGGAATGCCTTTGTACAAAAATCTGGGCGGCACCAAACAACTATCTATTTCAGCTTCAGGGATAAACATTGTGGTTTGGGAGGTGGAAATGTTTTCTGAAAAAATCTTATATTTTAAACCCTTTCTGACCTTGTCTGCTGTTTATTCAACTGCTTATTCATTTTTTGATTGTCATGTGCTTACCACCTCTTTTAAAAATCAATCTTCTTCTGATGAATAGTGAATACTGTGATGATATAGTAGAGCCCACATTGAGAAAGGACAATTATTGGCAGTTTTGTCCTCTGAAAATTGCCCTCTTTTGACTATGCCATAAAGTAAACATTGAGGTAACAATGTCCCATCTCAGAATAAATTATCATTGAAAGTTGCATTTTCAATAAATAATTTGGATAAAGAGATGAAGAACAGGCTAAAGCCGTTGTGAAGAGTTCTGGGGTTTCATTTATAGGGCGGCCAGATGGCCTTCTTAGGGCTAATGTAGGGCCTTTACAGATTGCCAGAAATAATGCAGCTTGAGGCCACTTTAACTGTTGTGGCTCAGTGGTAGGGAATCATGGGAACTGTATTTTTTCTGGGACATTGAGCCTTCTCTGTCAGAGAGCTATAGTGGCATAATAAACTACAGTTTCCATGATTCCTTAGCATTGAGCCAGGATAGTTAAAGTGGCCTCAAGCTGCATTATTTCTGGTAGTCTGTAAAGGCCCATAGAATAGCCAAATGAGCTGGCCTGGGGGTGGAGTTACCACACGCCAGCCACCATCATGCCGCACGCCCGACCGCATGGCATGTGGCATCAGGGTACCCCGTTGGCACAGTGTTAGACACACTGCACCAAAGGGGTGCAAAAGAGCTGCTGCAGCAGCACTAAGGGTGTTTTTTTGCTGTCCCCCAAAGGAGTGGCATTTGCCAGCTCTTTTTGGAGCACCAAAAAGCCAGATCTCAGAGGATAAAGCCAGATCTCCGGGCCTAGTACAAGGTGTTGGTTATTACCTTTAAAGCCCTAAATGGCTTGGGCCCAAGTTATATCAGAGACCGACTTCTCCCATATAATCCTCCCCGCGCTCTCCGGTCTGCTTGGAGGAATTTGCTGCAGCCACAAAAATCTAGGCTGACGGCGACCTCCCAGAGGGCCTTCTCTATAGTCGCTCCCAAACTCTGGAATGGCCTGCTGGACGAGATCCGTCAATTAACATCTCTGCATAGCTTTAAGAAAGCTATTAAGATGGATCTCTTCTGGCAGGCCTTCCTGGACTAACTGCCCAGCCTCGGGCTCATTGGCTCATTGGCTTATGGAACCCTT